ATAAAATAAAGCTTATCGCGCGCAATCGCCCAAATCGAACGTAGTCAGGTCTGTTCTTTATCGATGAACTCTCTGAACTGATGCATGCTGATGCAATAAGTTGAAACAAAACAAATGGATTGTTTCACTTCAGTTCATTACATCGTGTGCACTAGTGCAAAGAGTTCTTCGATAAAGAATAAACTTAGTGCGTCATATCACTTGAATCGTTGAATTGTTTCTGTACACTTGTTATCAAGGTTATGTTTAAAAAATGTGTGACTAATTTATCTAGTTTTTAATATTATGAGAATTTTTGCAAATTGTAAATTTTTTTTATATTCACTAAAAGTTTGTTTTCTGTCTAATGTTTTTTTAAACATAGTTAAAAAATTGTATAACAATATTTATTCAATTAAAATAAACTTTTATAATTATTTAATTAATTTAAAATTATACATATATTTGCTTGGCACAGTTGAAAATAAATCTTTATGTAAAATTTTTAAGAAATAACAAATAACGACGATATTATTAAAAGTGACGAATCAACTAAATGTATAGCTGAATAACGTCATGAAATAGCCCTAGATATGTCACTATTTGATATTCCGTTACCCTTTTTATTGATCGATTGACCGAAGTACGCAGATGGATTTTTTTCTGATTGCAATTGCCTGTTGTAAGACGAAACCTCATGATAAAGATCAACTTACTGTCTTCCACTATACTGATCCGTTGTGAGCCAAGGCAAGCAAATAAATCTCTATTTACCGCAAACACAAGCGTAATGCAGAACACGCTGTAAACAGAGCCGTACCCAAGCATCGACTATTTCAGCTAGACAGACGTCTAGCAAGGAATGAACTAACTATTATTAATAACATTCGTACGTTTAATTAAAAATCACCCTTCGCAATCCACAATAGCAAATACTTTAGAAGATATAGTACTTATATACATATATACATATATAGGTAGTATTTTAGATTGCATATACAAATAATTTTCAAATTAAATTCTATATGTTAATGCTTCAGCTGAATCACATTAATTATTCATTCCATGCATCATTTGTAGTGAAAATTTGATCTATTTACCTTTGATCTTCAGTTTCATATATAAAATGCTGTTGTTTAATTTCTGTCTATCTCTATATAGCTATGCAAATATGTGTATATGTGTATATTAAGTTAATTTGTATTAAAAGATTAGAATAGAAAATAAAAACTTGCGGAGCACTCGAATGTCAATTGATATGTCATATTTATTAGAAAGTAAAGCTCTTTTAAACTTGGTACCAAAGGATCGAGATGGAACAGGCATAATGCCAAGTTATGTTGAGTGAATTTCTAGCGAAAGTAGAGCAAATACCGACATGTACGATGTATGCGGTCATATCACAAGGAATTGTTACATTTTGATCTTCTTTTCAGAATAATTTATTATTGTCTTAAGTAATTAATAATACAAACGTTGAATCGATATAAGTGGAAATTAATTTTCAGTAAAAGATAAACAAAATTAACGGCGAAAAAAAAACGTGATAATTAACAAAGGCTTTCTACGAAATTGACAAAGAATTTTATCAGTGACTCAGATTATGCCTCGATCGATATTTGTCGGTTTTCTCCATGACGTAAAAAAGCAGTGACCTATTAAAGAGAAATTTACACGCTTCATCTTATGTCTATATAAGGTGGTGCTCGTAAATTGTGAAATTGGCTTGTGCAAGAGAAAAAAATTGTGCAAAATGAATTATATTTAATTACAAGTAGGTTTTTTTATATTTTCCATATATATTTTCTTTTAAAACTTTTTTTATGCTCATTTTATATGTAAATATTGTTATCAGTGGTTATTATGAGCGATATGGGACAATTTTTATAAAAATATTTTTAATAATATTATTATAATATAAAATTTATTAAGGTTATACATGTTAGTGAGAATATTTAAATTAACATGACCAGAAATGTAATAATAAGACTTGTAATACATATATTATATATATTTTGATTAATATAAAAATATATTGGAGTTTAAAAGTAGATTGAAAAGTTATATTTAAAAAATTTCATATGGTATTGATCAGAGCTAAATGTATCGAACCTTCTCACAGATAACTGTTTTAATTATATTTTTATGTATAGTAAATAAATAAAATTAATCTTTCTTTTATTTGTTAAATTTATAATAAAACTAAATTTATATCATGAAGTAATATTTTGTTAGATAACACATTTATATATAACACTATTTTTAAATACTATTTATTACAAAAAAAGTTGTACATTTTTTAAATATTATAAAATCCACGTACACGCGTAGATATTGTACTCGAAAAGATTTGAACAAGCCGTATCAATGCAACTAAAGGTATTCTAGCTTTTGTTTTTCTAAAAGTGTCTTGTTTGCGCGCACTCAAGATTAAAATAGATGGGACACGTAAACTTTTAAGAATGATTGTTTTTAAAGCGACATGCACACATGACATCACCGAACAATAGAGCGTCCGTATCATGATCTTAATAGTTCTTAATTAATCTTAATTTCGGCGTTAATTACTTTGTTATGAGAACCTATCGAGAGAAGCATGTGGCTTCGTCCTTTCTCCCAAAATATAGAGCATCTTTGCTCGAAGACTAATATGAAAGAGGAGAAGTCGACGGAGTAGAATTACGTCGTTAACCTCAGAGAGCTCCTAAGCTGGCTATTACGTGGAATGTTACCGTGCTACTAAACTTCCTCCAATTTGTTCATTTAATACATTGACACATTTTCAAATAAGACTTTCCTATAATTTTAAACGTTAGCATCAACGTTATCATTTGCGTTATAATATTATAGTTAGCATTATTGGTTTATATAAGCATCTTATAATAATGCAAAATAGAAAATTAAAACTTAATGCGTTCAAAATTAAATGCACATTAAAATAAATTCGAAGAAGAAATACATTTGAATAAAAGGAACAATAATATTTATTTGAGTTTGTCATTTAATATTTCTATGTATATTAATTCTTTTTCTTAAAGCATTTTTATTATTAGATATATATTTATACACTGAGAAAAGAAACTGCAATTACCATAATTGAACTACAACTTATAACCATTTATATATAATAATATTTTGTTTTTATATATAATAATATTTTGATGAAATTATGAATATAATTAGTATTACATTAAAACATTTTATCAGTAATTACGATAATGGTACAGATTTTAATTCGTAATTATTTTACTCCACAATTGTAGTCGTAAATATCAAACACACTTTTCTTTTAGTATAAGTTAATATTTAGATGTCGGTTGAGTATCTTTTATACATATGTTCCAAATGATAAAAACTATGAAAAAACTCTTTGATTATATATGCTGATGTGTAGAAATGTAATTAGCAATAATGGAATGCGTTAGCCAAGACTCGCATTTACTGTCTCATTGAGTTCTGTGATTGGCTAACTCCGCCTACGTTAATTGTTTGAAGCAATTATGTAACGGAAGTGTTACGTTGTTGACCGTTCTGTAGTTTGTTTTATTTCTATTATATCCGATAGATCGTTAAAAATATATCGTTAACGATATATCGTTAAAAATTATACATTTCCTATTTGATATTATAATATTTTGAGACTGTATGTGTGAAATGATTATTATTATTTAATAGCGTTAACTCCATTAGCTTTTTCACTTCTTCAATAAGAATATAAATGAGTAGAAGCTAGAACCTCGGAAAGAAAACTTGGTTTAACTTATAAAGTAAGAACTTTTTGTCGAGTTCTATTGTGACGAAACAAGTACACGATTCATAATTTAAAGAAATATTGTCAAAATTTGATAATCCTATATAGCCTAGAGCGAAACTTGATCTCAACTTTACATTTACATTCAAATCAGGAAGCCATCAAGAGTGAAACGATTTTAAGAATCATGAAGTAGTTCGATTAATAGCTTAAACGTCGAAAGTTTAGAAACTGCCTTAAATAATTAAACTTCATTGCTAAACTTCAATATAGGTCACCGCTCTAAATAGAAGCTGGATGTCATATTAAATCACGCTGTTAAACCAATATCGTATAATAGAAGAACAATATATGACTACTACGTCGCACATTATACTGCGGCTTTGTTTCTTGCCAGCTTAGGATAATGTATCGTGTCGTTTCTTCTATGTAACGTCCAGTTCAATTTTCATGGTAAAATCTAAAAGCCATCTTCAATTTTGTTGTGCTTTTACAATTGCTTCTACATATATGTATATACAGTTTAATCAATTGTAAATTTCATATGTATGTTTGCTGATGACCTTTACAAATTATTACGCAGTTGTGCTACTAAAACGCGCGTACATAACGCTTTTAATAATACGATGTGGTTAGCGTTGCGCACATTGAGATCAATGTCAATTGTCCATGGCAGTTGAAAAACTCTAACGAATATCCACAATGACCGTTTCATTGTAATATTGAGTCGTTCTAATATTTCAAAACACATATTGTACATACTACGTTCTAAATCATCTTTTCGCAAATAATCATCAAATGTTAGATTTCGTATGTTTATTTTGGATATTGTATTGTAAGAAGTAGATGAATATGTTTTTTTTTTTTTTTAAGTTAGTTTCTCTATTAGAGTCTTTATCATATCTTTTTTCGAAATTATGTTATAATCAAAAAATATTTCTCACACTAAATGGTATGTTAATATAATAATGATTTTATACTTTTTACCACTTCTCCTTGTTTCGTGTTAAATAAGTCAAATTTTGTGCAGTTAGAATAAAACTCAGAATAGATAAATATGACCAAAGTAATATAAAAGTGTCGCTTATACTCTCTTTGTGTCGGCATGTTAATGTAATCTATCTACTATCCTATCAGCCCTACTACGCAACTATGTATCTACGCATCAGCATAAATTGCAGCTACGGTTGCGATACGCGTTAAGAGGGATTTGTATAATAATACTAATAACGCGACAGTCTTTCAATTTTTCTCTCTTACCAAAACTTACCCCAATAGAGCAGATTCCTCGGCAGTGGCTGCTGTTGGCATCCTGTTTCTCTCCCTAGAACAAAATGGCGGCGAATAATCACACACGCCTAGCCCTAGCGGCAAGTCACGCCTCTACTCCCGTTATACAACACAAATATTTTACAACGTAAAAAAATTATTGACAATAAGCAAACAACAATATAGTCATATTTGTGGCAATTTGCGGGAAGTTGCTTCGACCAGCATTCTATTTTGGTCATTAAAACCAGCTTCTCTTTGTTCTACCACGGTATAATTTCCGGTATTTAACACACCGCCAATTTGAATGTAAAATTACCATTTAAAATTATCATTTTCTACGGGCAATTAAACCGGGCCGAGCAACTTCATGCTCGAATGCGTATTTGAATAAATAAACTTTAAAAGAAATCGGGCTAAACTTCAGTTTAAAGGATATCATTCCAATTAAGGCAAAATTAATAACCATGATTAATAAATAATACATATAATATTTTCTCTCAATATAATATTTCAATATTTCACACTGAATTTTTTAACTAAAATATTTCAATATGTGTGTTATGTATATCTATAAGTTATTGTATTATTATTTTTATTTTTATAACAATACATCTAAGATATAATTATGTATTAAGTAACTCTCTCTAATATTTTGTATCTTTACATTTAAGTTGTTTATAAAAATATTTTATTGAATATGTATAAATTAAATTATTATCCAGATAAATAAAATGAATATAATAAAATATATATAAAAATACATTTTTTAAAATTATAGTAATAATATTATACTACAAAATTTGTAAATAACTTAATGGTGTAAGAATTAGACAATTACAATGTAAATATACGATAAGAATACGAAGTTAAAGTTTGAAGTCAAAATTCTATTGCAAAGATGAAAACACCAATTTATAATTATTGAATTTTTAAATTAACTAAAATAATTATAAACTTCCATGGTCATTTGACAACAAGAGAAGCCGGTTCCGCAACACACGCGTTTCCGTCGCACGCCGCGAAGCGATACGGACGGTCACAACTCGAGCGTTGCAAGGACAAAGGAAGACGGCCACTCGCGTGCATGTAACAGAAAGAGTGATAACAACAATACAACAATAAACCAAGCGATGATAATTACAGTGATTGCACTCACGCGTAGATAAAAAGATGCGAGAAGCTGGTGCTGTCGATGCATGCGTGCGAAGCTCAAAGCGTGAGGGAAATGAACGATTTCTTCAGGTGCTATAGACGTGACTTACCTTTGGTTTTCTTGTTTTTTACATGAGTTGATTAACAGCACCATTAATGTCCGATCCTGAAGTTTGTCCGTACTTACTAATCTACTAATTTAAAAGTGCAAGAACGAGGTGTCGGTTTGTCCAACTTGTTTACATCGAATAAACATACTTTAAGTAAAATATTTTATGGTGTTTTACAAAGTCATCTCTAGTATTTAATTTCTTTGTATCGATTCAACTAAGTTTTTCGCGAATATCTCTAGATTTTTAAGCGTTCTTTATTAGAAAATTTTGAGGTGTATGAAATGTATATTTGAGATGTGCTCTGTTTGCATAATTATTTACTTCAGAAAAGAAAAATTGTATATAATTATAATAGACGTCGCTAAAGCTGCCGGGCAATATATAGCATGCACGCAAAAATTATAGAAGTCCTTCTGTCATATCCCGAATTACACCATATATAGTTAATTTAGCTTTCAAAGATGTTTAATTTTGACAGATGTGCACTGACAAAATGAGTACCTTTTAGGCATTATCAAAGCAAAAATCAATATTAATAATATTAAAGATAGATTGCAAGCGCTAGTATAGCTACATGACATTGATGAATAGTATTTTATGCTTTTTTGCGCAAGAATATTTTTGCGATTATTTTTCGACGCGGTTGATGCTTTTATTGCTAAAGGCGATTATTTTGTTATAAATTCCTCCAGTGCTTTTATAAAAAGTTGTTTATTAAAAACAAACATGTTACTTAATTAAATATAACTACACGAACATCCACAAATATCATAGAGGATATATAAACGTATTAAAGAATAAACCTTGAAAAATGTATAGGAATAAAAGAATAAAATTATTATAAAAAAAATAATATTCAAAAACATTTTTGAAATATATATTACTTTTATGTATGTAAGATTATAAGTTTCAAAAGATTACAATTGTGAAAATAGAAGTAAGAAATCATCTTGAAGTAAAACTGTAGGTCCTATTCTAGAAGGTTAATGTTCTGGAATAATGGAAATAATATGACCTTATTTTTCAAGTGAGTAACGATTCGAGCAAGCTACATTTTACACATTTATAGAAGACATATACGTTGAAGCCATCGTAAAATTGTAATTTGATATTACTTTTTATTCATGAAATTTTAAAAGTCTTTAAGATGTCTTTATTTTCATTAAAATTTTCGTACCATATGTATATGTCTTACTTTTCATTACATAGAGTATATGTAGTGTTTTGTAAAATATTATTACTTTTGTTAAAGCATCCTCATGTGTTACTCAATAATTTAATTATTTTTGGTACATCTCTTTTGCATTTGAAATCTACTATAATAAAGATGTTTTCAGCTCGCCTGTAGCCATGCAACCAAAGTTATAAAATTATATCAATAAAGCTACGATCAATCTTATGAAATTTGTTCACCATAATAGTTAATAAAAGCACTATAAACTCATGCTTCGATGTCTTCGACCTCGAAATGCTCGTCGCCCACAAACTCTTTAACGACTCCGCACTAACTGTTAAGTTGCTTATTGCATCAGTTTCGTCTTTGAGCTCTCAGTATTACAGTGTTTATTGTACATTAGCGTGAACTAGATAAATCTTCTTTACATTGTTTAAAATAGTTTTTAATTGTATTATGATTCTTTAATTCATAAAATTATAATGTCTTTTCGATAGATATTAGAAGTAGATTAGCTACAACATAAAAAATGTAACTTTTTAATAAAAATTTACAAAATAAATTTTACACAATTCACAATTTATAATAGAACAATATTAAATAAAGAGTTACTGATAATTATACTGCAATCTTTTTTTAATTATTTAATGGGAAGTTGCTTATAATATTTAGTATGTTCCTAACTCTAAATTTTTATTTTTTATCATTTATAAATAACATCTAATTTGTTTCATAATATCTAATATAATCCATTAAATTATGAAATAATTATTAATTATAGTAAAAATTATATTTTATCAGACTAATTGTAAAGGTTAATGATATAATAAAATAGTTCAAGCAAATATGTTAAATTCACAAATCAGTTTTTATTTCAAGAAGTGTAGATATATAAAATATAAAAAATTGTACATTTTATTTTTATTTAAAGAATTAGAAGTGCTCAACTTTCTGTTTTAAAAGTACTTGTAAATCATGGAATTATATATATTCCTTACAAATTTTATATATAGATAAATATGTAAAAACAGTGTCAAACAAGTACAGCCAATCAACAAGTAGAGCCTTTGGGTTAACGTATAATATATACCATAACCGCAATAAAAAAAGTCGTAGTGAATTATCAATACTTGAAAGAGCGACGAGAAGGTTTAGAGGTCGAGGAACAGTAAAACGATGTATCCGCGACTGTACCTCTATCTGTCGATCCCGTACCCGGAAAATGTCTTTTAAAGCATTACCTTGGGACAATCGAGACGCTTTCGCGACGATCCTCGATCAGCGGGTCCTTTTTTCGCATCTCAGTCTTCGGTGAGGTGAAGCTAAAAGCCTTCTTCACGGAGTCGAGAACGCTCTGGCCGGTAGTCTGTGTCTGGTCCACGATGGTCGTGCTTTTGTAAACGTCTTCGCCCAGGTCGCCTAAGGACCTGTACGAAGCGCCAGTACCTGCCGGCATGGCGTAACCTTTTGTCCTGCTTCGTTCGCAATACTGTCTCTCACTTGACACCTAATAAATCGTCGTGCTGGTTGGAGATGATTTTCACCGTCTAGGTAGGCTGAGGTCCTCTCAGCGAAGACTTGCCTTGAAGGTGCCAAGAGCTGAGGCGTTGCTGCAGTTGCCGCTGATGATGATAGCGTGCCCGAAGCCGATATTACCAATATCGCACGTCAACAAGGCAAACGAACGGCAAAAGAACAAATGAAAGAAAAAACAAAGATAAGGAAATCCTGTGACAGCGATTGCAGCGCATTTCGAGGCATCGGTGATAGTTTAATCGTAAATTACATTGATTTCCTCAAAAACATTAAAAAAGCACCAACAACTGTGGTCAATTACCATTGATTTTTTACTTTCATTAATTAAATATAAGAAATTTTGTTAAATATAAGATTTAACCAATGTCAGTTAATAATTATCTTCAATAAGTAAGAAGTATGTATTTGTTTTTTCTCATTTTTATCAGAACATCTAAGATAGCGTTTATTACTCCATAAGAGTTATTAAAAGTTTTCTTTATTAAGTTTTATAAAGTCGAGGAACTAGACAAATGTATATATTACACAGAGAAAAAGATTTCTTTGAATGTAATAAATTTGATTGTATCCAAATAAATTTGTTATTTGGAATGGTCCAAACAAATCAATGTTTGAATCAATAAGTGTAATTGTTTAAATTTGAAACAATGTATATCTTTGTCTTAAATATATTATTTATTTCAACAGATAATATCTATCTTCAATATTCGCGTGATCAACTGTACGGCACAAAAATAATTGATGTAGCACTTAGCATTCGTTTAATCCTGTTGTTAGACGTAGTATAAGCCATTGTTTCTATATTTTTGGTAAAAAAATGTAATAATTATTTTAAGAAAGCAATTATTTGCATGGAATAACCTAACCTCTATGAATATATTTTGTCATTTTGAAATAAATAATTTGTTTCATTGCTTGTATTCATTGTAATCAAATAATATATTATTTAATTGAAAGATATTACTTCAAATAATAATGTTATTTCTGTCAAGTAATAGAGATTTCCCAAATGAAACAACAAAATTTTTATTCAAACAAATAATATTTCGTACAAGCATATGTTGTTTCAATAAAACAAATTTTAGTCAAATAAATAAGAATATTAAATCCAAAGAAATCTTTTTCTCTGTGTGGTTACTGTTTTGTAATAGAGAAGCTAATTTCATTTCTAGTTATATCTCAGGTTCGTGATGCACGTAAATTTTTTTTAAATATTTAATAAGAATTCTACTAATTTTATATGAAATTAATTTACTTGTGGATTTTGTCGTGAAAAGTATTTATTTTCTCTTTTGTTGAAACAGAATAAATTAAACCTGAGTATAATACTTTAATAACATTCTAATAATATTCTAATTGATCTTCACATTAACAATTGCATACAACTACAGTAAAGTATCTGTTTTTTCTTTTATTGAAACATAGAATAAATTAATTGCAAGCATAATACTTCAATAGTACATTCTAATTAATTGTTACATTAGCAATTGCAAATGAATACGATAAACTTTTATTAACTATTAAAGCAGATAATTACAGAATTTATATTATTCAATATTTTAAAAGAAGTTTTCTAACGTCTTATCGTTTGTATCGCTATTTTTATTAACGTTTTCAATATAGCCAATTAAATTTTCCTAGTTACTTTTTTCTCTCTCCCTTCTTTTTTTATTTACTTAATACGTTATTTTATACTTTACTAGCCTTTATTTTATGTAATTATTTGTTATTCTTACAAAAATGTCCTAAACATATTTTACAGTAATTGCATATAAAACGTGAAAAAAGAATTAATTACTACAAAAGTATTACTACATAAAAATGAGAAAAGGAGAAGAGAAAGTGAGAGAGAGAGAGAGAGAGAGAGAGAGAGAGAGAGAGCGAGCGAGAAAAGAGAGCTATATTAGATTGAATAGTTTTTAGTACTGCAAATTTGTGAAATATACAAACTTTTTTCAGCACGTATTTAATATAGTCTCTATAGTGTAAACAGTTTTATTGAATTCCAATTTAAATTCGAAATCCAAATTGTGCAAATGTAAAGAAAAGATATAAACGTATTTCTCTGCATTCTGTTGTTAGTTTGGAGGTCTGGATATAAAACTGTGTTTTATTTATGAATGCACATACAGAAGTTCAAACGTTCCTGTCATTCTCATTAAATATACGTGCAAGCTGCTATTTCCGTATTCTATATTATTGCCAAATCAAATATTTACCAAATCAATGCAGATTTAATCTGCATTTTATTATTACATATGTTTTGCTACATATGCAATAATAAACAAATGTATGTTTTAACTCATAAATGTAAGAGAAATACAATTTTTTAAAAAGTTTTGATATCCATTAAAGTATATTTTTAATACTAGCAGCAGAAGAGAACTAAAAACTAATACTCTTAACTAGAAAAACTTTCTTTGTTTCTAAAAAAACTTCTTTTACACAATTGTTACTGTTTACTGATTTAATATTAAAAAAATATTTACGAGGCCATTCATCAAATTGTTGACAAAAATAGATCAGTTAAAAAATAATTACGACACAAAAGTTTGATAATGTAACTTCCGTTGTAGCTGATATTGTTTCAATATTTCATTGTTCTATATTTTTGGAGGGTTTGCTAAATCAAGTCATGCATATTTAATTTGCATTTTATTATCGCATGTTGTAATATATATAAAATAATAAATAAATGTACATATTACTTAATAAATGTGACAGAAACGCAAATTTTTTAAAAGTGTTAGCATCCATTAAAATTTATTTTAAAAAATTGTATTAAAATATTGTATTCAAAAAAAGTATTAAAAAATTTATATTTTTAACACTAGCTATAGAAGAGAAAAACTTGTTAGCTCATTTAGAAAAACTTTTTATAAAAAAAAAACGTATTTATCCAATTGTTGTTGCTTAATAATTTAACAAGAAAATATTTGAGACTTCAAGTTATGTTAGTTGAAAAAATAGATCTCAATTAAGAAATAAATAGAACACAGAGGAAATTAATAGTGTGACTTTTGTTTTTTAATTAAACAAATTAGGTTGTACGATTTAGATTAAAAATGTTATTAAACCGATGCCTCGTTTTCGCTAAAATGTGAAAAATAAAGTAAGGTATGTGTCATGGAACGATTGTCGACATGCACAAAATTCATCGAGTTCGTCTGTCGAAAGAATCATGCATGGCGACATGCCAACTGTGAAGTATCTATTTATGCATGTTTGTGGAATACTGTTGATAAATAGGAAACGTGCGAACAAGAAACAGTAAGTATCTTCTAATCAACTATCTTTATTAGCAAATCAAGCGTGTGCGACATAATCAACGAATAAAGTAAAAGTCTGCACTATATAATTCGGGAAGTTTTTTCTGAATTTCATTAATTGATATTATTTTGCGCGCGAGGCTAATACGAAATGTGACGTAAATTCGTGACAGAAATAGAGAATGTATGCAAGAAAGATTTGCATAATAAACAAATCAGTATGGATTGATTTGCGATTGACGTCACTTCGTCAATCCATCGATCAAAAAAGATACGCACTTTCTATATTTTCTCCTAATAATAATGCTTATCAACATTGTCAAGAATAATTGATGAACACATCCAATTTATTGTACGCGCAGATATCAAATTTTTAAATACAGGTGCCGTTTCATGATATGATACACTTGATCGACGAATCACAAATAATTAGTTAAATAATATACTTAAAAGTTTTGTTCTCGTGAGAAATGAGCAAAACTTTCAAATATACTTTGAGCCGTAAATCAGTCGTCGATAGATTGTAAAAATTGGAGCCATAACTCGTTTTATTAAAAAAAAAAATTAACTCGTTTGAACGGTAAAAAGAATATGAACACTGTAGCCAATTTAAAAACGTACATGATATTTTTCTTGTCAATTAAGATTTCCGTCGGTCAAGAAAATTTATTTCAAAATGCTACGAGATTATATGTTATGACCGTTATTACTGAGCGTCAAGAATGACAACTGTGCATTAAAATAAAACACACGGAGAACCTTCGAGAATAAAAAATGACATAGTTTTATAATAAGACATTGCAAACGAATTATTATTTAAGGAAAATTAGATATTAGATAACTAATTGTTAAAATAAAGGATTTATCTAAATTTAAAAAATGACATTTAATTGCATTAATGATTATTCAAATTGAAACTGGTCATATCGATTTTAAATCTCTATATGGCGTTAAATAAAATAATTCATGAGAGGTATAAAAGAAAGAGAAAAGGTAAAAGGTGAATGCTATAAATAATCCGCGAGAAATATGAAAGATAGGTAAGGGGGAGAATCTTCTATTTCAAGTACCCCACTCTCCAAGGCAAACGCATGTCATTTTGAAGCCAATCTTTTCAAATATCGATGATGCTAAGTGCAGCTGGATCAGCTACGGGTTTGGCTTGCTTACGTCTTAGCGCCTTACGCTGGCAGACAGGAAATCGATCTGGCCAGAACTTTTCCGAGCAAAATATGTATGCATATCGGGTGATCATGCGGTGATCACCAATTCGCAGATAGACTTCTGCGCGCGTGTTGTAAGCGAGTCCCCGGAGAGTCGCGTATTGATTTTTCGCATGGATACTCGCGTGTAACGTCGGGGTTAACCCCGTTTCTCGACATCTAATTTTTCGTCCGAGGCTAGCCGTCTTGACGTCCACTGAATCGTGCGACTGATTTACGACATTAAGGTTTTTAGTAGCTGAATTACGGCAGACATCAGTTTGTTTTCAGAATAATCAAACGTAGATTTAAATCATTTTCAAGTGTATCATTGATCCATAATTAATGACTGATCTAGCGATTAAGGGTTGCAATTGTCAAGATTATGTATTATTATCAATCGTTTGAAATAAGACGTCATTATATTAATACCAGCTATGAACAGAAAATCTTATTATATTTAGAAACATATGTTACATAGTGATGTACGAATATCAATGTGAGTTGAATTATTTTTTATATAATTATAGTAAAATCTTATATATATAATATAATTGAGTATATAATATCATATATATATAATAGTTTAAGTTATATATATATATATATATATATAATGAGTATATATATAAAAATTTGAGTTAAACATTTTTGACGCATCTGCTATTGGCTTTGCCTAACAGTTCTGTCTAACAAATTAACAGATTTCGAATTGTTGCAGTACCTAAATAAATTACACAAAGAAGCATTCATTTTTGGGTATACATTTTTTGTTCATATTTCAGTCTCTTAGGGTGGACTTGTTAAACTTTTTGTTCTGAAAGTTTATATTAATTGATAAGGTAATAATTGAATCACTGATCTAACTGTTTCCCTTATTGATTATATTTCAATGAACGATGTAAAGTAAAGCTTTATAGCACATATAAATTCTTAGCAAAAATTTCTGCATGTATTTTTATGCTCCACTTTAATATAACGTTTTCAAAATTAATATTGCGTTATATTATATAGTCATAGCTGGTTTTAACACATTGCTCTGAAAATAAAGATTACAGTCTCGATGTGACGAGAAATCTTATCGCCACTGACAGTTTACTCTCGTACTTCGAGACTATTTTTTCCGTTGTGCGACGCACGTAGCATTGATCCTGCATATGCTTCAAGTATCGTAGAAGCAGCTGTAAGCCGTTACGTCTGCGATTAGGGTGCGGGTAAGATAATCGTTGGAAGCTGGTAGGAAATGAAACGCGATGGTTTTTGTCTGCTTCTCTTGTAAAGAAGAAGGAAAAGTTTTTCTGAAAGTTTTCTTTAATAAAAGTTATTTAAGTCTTTTCAAAAAATCGACGTAAAATTACTAATTTCTTTTTAATTATTGGCTTGGAACATTATAAAATAGAATGTTGTGAGACGTAAATTATTTAAAATAATTAAAAGTTATTAGTTAATTAGTTACAGTTATTAACTGTGACATCTAATACCGAAAATAATTATTCTGTGAAAGTTATCGTTATGTAAGTATATTCTATACAGACATTCAGTTCCTAGGAAATCTAGGAGCAGATATGATTTTGTCTGCGTGTTTTCGTTTACACATTTCTTCCAAGTCTATAAGTTAAAATAGTTTTTATCAAATGTTTAAATTTTTTAAATGCAAGGAGAGAAAGTCAGTAAAAAATATAGTAGTGTAACAGGGGGGGATCAATTTCTATAAGTTGCAGTACGTAACGGTAAGCGAGCAGGTATGTTTAATCGAGAGTTAACTGTCACTGGCTATTTTATTTTTGCGACGTCTTTCCTGGGAACGATCGATTGTCCAGTCTAACCCCATTTCTCGCCCCAATGAGACCGATTCGTCTAGAAGGCGACGTTACAGCGAGATCTTTTGCGCGATGTCGTACACGCGCGATCGATCTAGCGCGCCAGGTTCGACCTTCGCAGCGTCGCATGACACAACGTCACCGACCGCGGTTCACCGCTGCAACCTCCGTTGACGACGATGATGACGATGTCCGCGTGCAAACGCGAGATACGCGATGCGCGCGCGTGCAAGCAATAACTAACACCAACACGATTTCACGAGCGCGCACATCGAACATACTCCATTCGAATCATACGGACGTAGTACTGATCGATAGGTCGAAGCGGTCGAGAAATTCCCGAAGGGATGGCAGACAAAGGGCAGGAGGGTGTAGACAGGTGAAGAGGACAGCTGATCTGGGACTCACCTCTTCCTGCGTGAGTTCCGCTGCGGGGTCCGCGTACTGAAGAAGAGTTGCAGCTTTCGCGCGGTCTTTAAACGTTTACTATGAAAACCCTAATGGGTTCGTTTGCTCCTCGATCGCGGTAAGGTCACCTTGTTTTAAAGGAAACGCGCGTAATTGGAAGCAATCGCGCCCTATACGGATTTGATAGCCGATCGCCTGCTCGATACACGTTTTTCGATGTGACGTTACGAGATGTGCGAAGACGGAGCACCGTGATGGGACTGTCGTTAAAGATCACACGGTGTTCCTAACGACGTCGTACGATTACTAAGTGCACGGCTCCTTCAACTACTGACTGGTCAATGGGAATGCGCGTTGCTCCATGCGCGGTAAACTCCGGATCGAACCGGTTATGGACAGACTGCCGACATCTGGTCATGAAAAGGCACACTTGGCCTGTCATTCGTATTCAGAATTCCCGTTGCGCATGCGGAGACTTGAAAAATGACCTTGAAGCTCAGCCGGTCGATTATCAGACGAACTTCGTGAGACTTCCCCTGAAGAAGGGAAGAGCGATCAGTCCTTCTATCGACACAGTAGAAAACCATAATATCTAACGTTGGCATGAGCAATGTCAGTACATGTTTATGCCAGGAGATGGAATTTATACATAATATTTCTGTAATAATGCCCTTGCTGTACATTAGAATCCTTTTGAATCTTCCAAAGACTCAAAGACCTAACCAATTGCGTTCTTGCAAGGATTAAATTCAAACGATGATTAAGAAGGTTTGTTTTCTGTTCCTGCACTAGAACTGAACTGAACTGAACTGAACTAGTGCAATCCAGAACTGACGAGTGTAAGCGTACATAAGGAATAAACAACGCAAGATAAAAATGACGTCTCATATCGTTTAGATGAAAAAATTTGATTTGTGTGATGAAGATGAAATTATTAATGCAATTCCATCATTAAAAATATTCTTAATTGAAGATAATGATAGTATAAAATATTTTGTATGTAAGCTTACTATCATTTATATATTTTTATCATTTTATTAATTGTAAATTCTCGCACTATTTCTACAAGATCTGTTTTCTGTAGCCGAACTAGCGTACACTAGTTCTTGCACTGCTTGCACTGACTCCAGATCTAGTGCAGCCAGTTCAATGAACTCGTGCATGTTGCACTAGAACAAAAAACAATGATGCTGATGCCATTTTGAAAACAGAAAAAGCTTTAGTATACATTTTTTGAACTAATGCAATCAGTGCAGGAACAGAAAACAAACCTAATTACAATTAATCCAGTATTTAAATATTTATATAAGTTAATAAAATTGTATATATAACATTAATTATATACATATATTATATAAATTCATATAATTGGACGATCTTCACCCGCAATCTTGTATCAGATATCTTGCACTGATTTGCTAAAAGAGAGATTGAAGAATTTATAAATTAATAAAGAGAATATAGAAAGTAAGACATGTACTATAAACATTATCATATATATATATATATATATGTGTGTGTGTATGTTTGCATGATAATGTTTATAGTATGTGTTTTACTCTCTATATTCTTTATTAATTAAATTCTTAAGATTTTTTAAAGCATATATCGGTGCAAGACATTTCCAGTTTGGTGCAAGATTTTTCCAGTTGAAGATTGTTTAATTATACAAATTTATACATTTTTAAAATATGTTAACAAATCGCATTTATAGGAAAATTGGAATAAGTTGTAATCTAATAATAAATAAAAAAAATAATAGATATAGCATATACTTTTCTACGGAGATATATTCGTATTAATATACACATACAGACTAATTTGATATTTGTAATGTCAAATATATGTATTTCTAGAAATTCAAATAATTCTTAATCAATCAATTATGTACTGTCGCTTCTCTTCTTCTGAATTTTTTGACTGGCTCTCGTTCTTCAATTAGCCCACAAGAACCGAAGAGCTGTCTAAGCGACTGTCTCTCGTAATCGAGCAGAGCTGAGTAGCAGAAGAATGGAACAACGAATCGGAAGTACTCTCGAGGGGATTTAAGAGACGCTACGTTTTATGGAATTTACTCGGAGGCGAGCGAGAAAGATTAAATGCGAGGTGGAGAAAGCTATGATGAGATCTCTACGGATGGAATCGGTGCTCCAGAATTGCGGAACGTGCGTTGGGAAGAGCGGGGATTTAAAATCGCGAATCTCTTTATTATTTCCGTCTCTCTTGATGACACCGCGGAATAAATGAGAAAGTCTTCTACGTCCATCTTAGCGGTTAGATAATCCACCATTTTAGATTACTATTATATTGTGAGTCCGCCTTATTTATACTCGGTTAAAAGAATTTAAAGAGTCAATTAACAGTAGACCGAGACTGGTATCACAATTTTTGATTTATGATTTTTAGAAAAAATATAAAATGAATATAAAATTTTGAGACACTATTTATGTTAACATATCTACATCCCTTAGATATTAAAAAAAATATTCTTGAATACATCATACATCTTACAAATAAGTTATTTAATTTTAATTGAAACTGCAAAAATACATCTGACAATTAGCCCAGTGTATTCAGAATTGATTATTACACGTTTTAGGATTGGCAGTAACATATTTTTCATGAATAAAACATACAAAAAATATACTTTTTATTTTAATGTTCAATCTATATTTTAGAGAATAATAATAATTACACTATTGATATAAATAAAATAGTTATTTTAATCATAAAATACGTAATTTACTTTTGTATTACAGTTTCTATACGAAAAATGAAAAAAACGTATATGTTTCTGTAATGTATCATATTTTATAAAAAAAAAAGGATCGCGATCTAACGAGATGATTGTTAGCTAATCCCAGTTCATTTTGAACAACCTATTTCACATGGTCGTTTTTAGTAAAATAAATTGTATTCGCAAATTTTATTGCCTGAACAATAACTAATTAATTGCAGCAAAAATTTTCTAAATCACCTTTTTTTATGATTACAAAGGTATCACGATTGATAACGCTAAAAACTTGTAAAAAAAGGGAGATAAGAAAGTTTATTCACTAATTTCGTTTTCTTAAGTTATTCTAAATAATATATTTAATGCTTTTTTTTGGTACAAAGCCTTTTACATAAAATATTAATATTATATCGATAATCTACAATAAAAAAAAGAGATATTAATGCCATGTTTTTATTGATTGAATTATAAGCATTTTGACAATCAATCCCGTACGACAACCGGTCTTGGTCTCCCAATCGCGCAAGATAATTCAAAGAATAGTGCATTGAATTTTATTCATAAAATTGTTTTTTATTAAGTATCGAAACGTATTGATTTGCCATAAATGCATAAGTCGCACATAATGCGACATTAGACTGTTCGAGAAGAAATATTACCGATACGGATAGAAAGAGGGTGCAAAATATCTTGAGAAAGATTTGACGTACTTTTTCACATCCGTTTATTACCAATGCAATGTACCGAACTCGAACGATCATTCTAAACTACCTCTCGTTCTCCTCTCTTTATACACAACCTTTAAACGTTACTATTAAACTTCTGGATCTTCTCTCCATGGGATGATATGTATTTCGGCGAGTACATTTATCATAAAAATGTATATTTATGTATACTTCCGTTAGCCCGTCGCTCGGCTATACATACCTACATATATATTGTTACTGTACGTCACCTCCGCAGATTCTCGTTGGACTTAGCGCCGCCCCGTATATATACGTCCGCAAAAGGTGCTTTATAATGCGCGCGGAACGTAGTGGACATATTTTCCCCGTCTATGTCCTCTTGGTATGTTATATTCCATCTTGACAGAAGAAACCGGTCCTTTGTAAAAAAAAAAAAAATCTGGGGAGGGGGCGCTATTTAGTCTGTCAACTGGCATGACGAATCGCCGAGAGGAGAGCCGGCTTTAGAGCTACATATATGGAACATACCGTTATGCGTCGTTATAATATTTAGATGCAAACGAAAAAAAACGTTTTGTATCTCACATATAAATTACATATTTGACAATTTTCTTGCTAATGCTATATAAAAAAATTTAATTTTTGTTAAGATAATAAAGAAAAGATTGGAATAAGGAAAAATATAGGAGAGTTACTGAATGCAGACAACTTAATACATCTTTTAAATGAAATTTTTGATTTAATATTAATTTGCACACAATTAAACGTTGGAAATTGTAGCTTGACGTTTTAGGTATCTGTTATTAATAATACAAACACAAAAAATAAAATTTAATGTTTAATATGGAGATTAGACTATGGTATATTTATCTGAACAAACAAGCTGATGCTATTTGTCGTCATTTTGACATTAAAAATGTCATTTTGACGTCAAAATTTATTATACATATTTTTGTCACTAAATGCTTCTTATATAACATAGTATATTATTGTAATAATATAAAATAATAATAAGGATACGATTTAAGCGACCAGTACACATTCAGCAATCCTATATTTTAGATTTAATACAATTAGACTGAAATTACAATAATATGAGCTTGCAATAAAAATATTTACATAATCGCGATCGTAAGGCAATATCTCTGGTCGCCATTATAGACCACTCATGGGATTTTCACCCCAGAGAAACAGGTGCAACCAGTCTGGGATACAACGTGCAACGTGTTACGATGCTTTCCCCATGGGCGCGCTTCGATAAATTCGCCCACAGGATCTTCCTTACGGGACACGAGAGGCGTGCTGGTACTCCATATACTGAAGTTCGTTTAAAGGGAAACGAAATTTTCGTTGAAAATATAGCATTGCGAGGAATGTTATATTCTCATAGACATAATTATGATTTCATACACGGAATATTTAGTTAATAATATTGAAATATAGATTAATACCTTTTAATTATTTTAATTATACAAATATTTGTTATATGTGCTTAATGATATCTCCAGGAGTTTTTAACAAATGTTGTAAATATTTTCTAGTTCTAATTTATTACTTTCGCAAACGATTATTTTAGATCGATGCTCAGATTAGAGAGAATATTGTTCTTCTTTCATATATTACATTAGGATATTGTACAATTTGATATTACAGTTTAACTTTATGCACATAATATTATAAAACTTAACGCTATTATGATATATTTCAAAACATAATTCCATTATATTTTTTAATGGAAGGTAATAATATAACATTTTTTTGGAACAGCCATTAAATATAAATAGATAAATTATTGTACATTATATCGCTTTAAATGCACTTATAGATATTACTTTTAAGCTTATCTGCTATATAATATTGATATTGTTAATTTGTTTCAATTATGCATTTTGAAATTGCACAAATGTTTTTCTTGACAATTTG